GCTCGAGCGTCACTTTGGTCGCTCAAGCGGACTGTAAAATTTGAAAAACTTCTGGGAGCTCGATTTCATGCTCGAGCGAGACTTTCCTCGCTCCAGCGGATAGTGTAAATTCTGGAATTTCCAGAATTGTAATTGAAGTTCAGATTTGACATTGAAAGCCTCAAAACATATATTTTTGGTACACAAATATGGAGAACCATTGTATAATTTAGTTAAACACTCTTAATTAGAAATCATTTATTCAAAATCATGCTTCAATTGCCAAACTTAGTTTTAATTCATTTTCTCCATATCAAGCCAAATTCCAAACCCAAAGTGATTAACCTCTAAATTAATCTCCATAAATTGAACATGGCTCCAATCTCTCATTTTCTTTTTAGTTACATAAAATTGATTTCAAGCTCTTCCTATTTTCCTTCAAAGCATGAAATTAAAGTCATAAATTCTTTAGAAAATTATCACATGTATGAAATTGACATCAAAATTTCTAATTTTATATTATAAATTTTCCAATTAATTTCCATAATCTTAAACTTAATTTGTAACCTCAACTTAATTCATAATCATAGATGTTCCAAAATATGTTTAATTTAAATAAAATCTCAAATTACATTACATGCATGGATTAAAAATCTAATTACAAAATCAAAACTTTATCTAACATTAGGATTAATTCTAAATTTCCATTAACTTGATGTTTATAAAACATTTCCCTTTTCTCATCAAAATATGAACTTAAATGGCTCAATTCTTCAAAATTCATGATGCATGTTGTAATTAGAATATTAATTTGCCCATGCATGTAACAATGAGGCTTAATTTTATGCAAGAGTACAAAATCATACCCAAAATAATTAGTTTCTAATTTATTTTCCATAATCACCCATATGCATGTAACCCATTTCATGTTTAGAATCCAATTCCAAATTAACTTTCATAATCTTATACTTAAGTTAATTTTTCTTCGTCTTCTTGTTATTGATTCCACCTTGGTATGAAATTGAACCCAAATCTTTTTTAATTTTAATTGCTAGATGATTTATCTACAAAATTTAAGTTTCAATACTTTACTTGGAGTCTTAATTTGTTGAATTTCTTGTTGAGCTGTGAGTCTCTCTTTTCATCCTTTCACTTTCCAAACTTTTTCCTTGGCCTTTCTTTAGTTAAATTTTCTTTCCTTCTTTTATTCCCAGCAGTCAACACACACACACACACCCACTCTCTCTCTCTCTCTCTCTCTCTCGGCTGATCTTCCTCTCTTTTTTTTTTTCCTTCAAATGTTGTTTTGAGCCTAATGAAACTATACACTTTCTTGAACTCATATATTAATATATTTATATAAATATTATTTGTTGCCTTCACCTTACACGTCCGCACGCACACACGTCACAACCAGATTTTTCAGTACACCCACCTAAATTTCTCAGTGCACCCACACCCACAATGCTAGTTTATTCCATAAGACAATTTATGTTTAGGATTAATTTTAATTAAGCAATACTTAGTCTTAATAAATCTTGGTTAGCACGTAATTAATTAATCATAACTAATCATAAATCTTACATAATTTAATTAGTTTAATTTGACTTCCATTAAGACCCAATTAATTTTATTTAATTTTATCAATCCAAATCAGATTTTTAGTCAGACTTCTAAAAGGCTCCAAATGTGAAATTAAACTTATTTTCATCTTCAATTCTGGTTTCTTAAATCATTTAAGCCTTCAATTTCTGATCAGATTCAAAATTTCGTCAATAATTTACATATTCAAATTAGGTACTTCATAAATGAATTTAATTCGTAATCATCTTAATTCTCAATCTTCATAGCTTATTTACTCCGATTCGGACCCAATTAATAAAATCTCAATTTTACTAAACCAAATCGAATATTTAATTAAACTCCCATATAGTCCGATATTCATGATTAAGATAATTCAATTTACCAAATATACTCTCTTGAACCATTAGGCTTTCAATTTCAAATTCCAACATAAATCCTTAATAAAATCATATACAAATCAATCTCCATTATTTTTATGTATCTCGGATGAAATCAGGGTAATAGGCAATTAAATTCAAATCTCTTTGATTAATTAAATGCTAATTATTATACGTGGTAGGGTCGTTACATTTAGCCTTCTCAATTCTTATAGAACCAGTCCAACTCGCATTCATATAGATGACTTCTTAATAAGAGTATCCTACTATATCCCACTTGGATGTCCAATACAAAAGTAATCATTAAAAGGAAAGTTTATCCTACTAACGTTGCAGGTTTAACTCTTCTTATCATAAAAATGGGTAGGAGAGAATTTCCTTAATGATACAAGAAGTCATCCATAATTCGGTTGTCCCTTTGAACCTAGATTTTGGGATCTCTAGTCGGCAGAGTTGGTTTCTACAAATACACTTAGATCCGTTGATTTCTACACCCTAGTCTCTTTGATAAAAAGGAAAAGCACACCGAGAGCTTTCTCTTTATCGGAACAAAGTTGATTTTCGGTGTCTTTGAGGTTCCTCCACTCTCTCTCTCGTCTTCTAAGCTTGAGGTAGGGATTTCTCCGCACTTTCTTATATTTTTAACTTAGTGATTTGTTTTTATAAAATAACATTGTGAAAAAGGGGATTTTTGAACAATCGAGGGTTTTGGCTTGAAATCAAAAAGAGGGATTTTTAAATGGGGTTGTCGGAAATGATTGAGGAAATGCATTTATTATTGAGTTATGATGAAATGATTTCTATCTTTGAAATTGATTTATAAAGGAAAGGAGATTTTGCCTTGAGAATATCAAATGTTGATTTTGTAATGATAAATGGAAATGATGTTGGAAATGTGGAATTGGATTGATGTTGATGATAATGGCGGAGTTAGATATGTATTATCACTCCCATCTTGAGATTTTCGAAAAGTTTATCTTTATGGAAATTATTTATCTATTTAGAGATATTTGTTTTGGACTATCAATGAAGGATAGTTATGATTGTTGTAAAAATTGCATGAGAATTAAGTGAATCAAAACTAATTTCTCATCCATTTACATTGAACATTGTCGCATCTTTAACACATTGAAAGTGTATATTGTTTGAAAAAAATGGGTGAATACCTTGGTGAATCTGGGTAGGAGTGTAGTTGTTGTATTATGCTGACCTGTGTGTCCTTGGTAAAAATGACAAATTGGTAGCGTTTGTAGCCTACTTGCAGACACGTCCTAGAGATTCTCAGTATCGTATCCATTACCCTTTTTTATATTGTAAAGGAAATGATTCCATGAATTGTGTTATAACTTGGCATTGCATGGTTTTAGAAACAGATATAAAATGTTTTCAGTACGAGCATTGCATATGTATTTACCTTATATCTTTGTTAAGATTCATAAACTGTGTGGTGGTATCTCTTTTGTGCTTTGGCTCACCCTATATGGGAAAACCATTTTTAGCTGTGGATGATATGCTTCCGCCAAGGCAATAACTTGGGATGACTCGAGACTGAAGGCTTTTTTTTTTTTTTTTTTTTTGCCAATGCAATAACTTGGGATGACTCGGGACTAAAGGCTTCTTTTGTGTATTGTTGTATTTAGGGTCACTACTACAAACATAGTTAACGATCACAATTTGACAAATGAAAATATCTCATTTTTATTGGAAGTTTGATAAAAAAAAAATTAGATTGATATTTCAATCATACAGGTTGGTTTGGGATATTCTAAAAAAGTGCACTTTTTTACTTATTAGCTTATATGAGTTGGGTTTGGATTGGGTTTGATGTGATGTGTTAGAGAGGTGATATGATTTAAATAAGATGATATGACTTAAATAGGATAGTGACTTTTTAACTTTTTGTATTATTTAGTTTATGCCAAACTAACCCTTGATTTGATTGAGTGTGAAATATTTATTTTTTATATCACTTTCAATTAAGTGTGATTATATATATTTTTTTAATCGTACCTTCTAATTAACATGTGGTTATATTTATTTTTTATGTTACTTTTTAATTAAGTTCTTATTTGTCATCTTCTAAAAAAGTCAAAAAATCAAAAAGTCACTATCCTATTTAAGTTACATCATCTTACTTAAGGCACATCAGCTGTCTATCACATCACTTCAAATCCAATCCATGTCTAACCTATATTTCATAAAAATTCAAAAAATATACTTATTTAAAACATTCCAAATAACTCCTAAATATCATTATATTTTTTTTTAATCACATATACACTATTATAATAATATTTACTTTTAATCGTATTTTTTTAAATAAGTGTGTTATAATATAAGAGGAAGTATGCATTACTAAGGCACATATGGCTCTCTTTTTTTTGTTTTGGTCATTTCTGCCCTTGTTGCTTGTTCAGTGAAACACACTCATTTGCTTTAACATTGTGGACTATTTTGTAAATTGCTACCAAAGTGAATACTGTGCTTGTTTTGTTTATATATATATATTTAGTACCTTTTTTAACTGCTTGATTCACAAAGTGTGAACGACAACCGTTCAGGTCTTCTTTTTGGATTTTTTTTTTGAGTCAGCTTATGATTTTTCGCTTTTAAAAAGTTATTTTGGACTGTTTGATTAAATTTATTTTAAATTTTGATTCTAACAATTTATTTTAAGTTAAAAAAGTTGATTCTGAGAAGTTGCTCACCCCTTATTTCTGATTATCAGTTTTTACTGTAGACATATTAATTCACGGTTATGATTTTTTTATTTTTTTATTTTTTAAAAAATAAAAAAAGACCCAAATAGATTATAAGATATTATTATTATTTTTTATAAAAAATATAGAGAAATAGTGAATAATAAAAAATAAAAATTAATTCAAAAAGCTACTTCACAACTTATTTAACAAACACTACTCAGTAACTTAAATCTATAATCCAACACCAAACAGATTAACAACTCCTAATTAAAGTCATAATTTATAATCTGTTATGATATAATCTATAATCTGTTTTACCAACAACACCAAACAGCACCTTTGTCTTGGGAAAGGGCAAGGACCTTCTTGGGAAGCCACTTTCTTGTATAATTTTTTTATTTCGCTTTGGAGAATGGATGAGCGTCTTCTTTGACATGGCTTGCAAAATCTTATCTCGCGGTTCAACAATCGAATCGAACAATCACGGAATCTTGTCTCTCTCTATATCTCTCAGTAGCGTCTCTTTCTCTCTCTCTGGACGATGATGGTGGTGAGAAACCCTATCGGAGATGAGTTGCTTCTCTTTATTTTGTCTCTATGAATGTGTCTTGTTATTCACTTTCGTTCAGTTTCTTTACATAATCTGACTTCGTGTTGTAAGAATGGCTGCTTTAGTTTGGGGTTTTCCATTTTTTATTTTCTTTTGCATTCGCACTTATTTCGCCGGATAAGGGTTTGTGGGTTTGGCTTTGTTTTCTCTGGGTTTATCTTTTCTGTTCTCAGTTGTCAGACAAGCTCTTGCTGGTTTCCTTATTTTGCTGGTTTATCACTCTGTTTTTGTGCTTTATATGTATATTCCTGTAAATATTAATCATGAGTGAGGTTCAACCATTTTTTTTTAAAAGAATAAATCAAAAAATTTGTGTGCATATATGTAAAAAAGCAAACACAAAATGTGAAACCTTTAATAATTTTGTTTCTATCTTATTTACATTTTATTATTCAAATTAATTATTGTCATACGATCGTATCTCCCTTCTAAATAATAGATTACTGCTTATATATCTATATATGCATGTGTATGCATCTATTTGCAACTGAAATTATTAGGATTTCATAATTTTTTCAACATGCATTGGTACCATTCTTATTCGTTGATTTTCTTTGGGGGGTTTTAGAGTATTTTAAAATTTTCTCTCTTTCCTATCTAAGCTAATGTTTTGAAATTTTTACTGTACAATCCTGTATATATGTGAATTAAGATTAATGCAAATATTAATTTTTTCCTTATGTAGGCCTCTCGGTGTAAATCCCGCATATTCTCGTTCTTATTCAAGAAAGAACTTTAGCTTTTAGGGCATCTCACTGACCATTTCCTCAATTTTCTACTATCTTTTCTTTTCTACCATTGAAGTTCTTACTTTTCTTAGTAAACCTTGATTTGATTTGATTTTTTTGTTCATGGATGTATGCTATTTTGTGAGAAATAGAATATGTGATATCAGTGTTCTAAAATTTTCATTACACACCGGCTGTAAATTAATAATGCAAGTTTAAGACTGTTTTCAATAGGAACCTCAATGCTTGTGTTGCCCAAGGAAATAAAAGATTCATATCCATGATTCCATCTGTATTGAATCTTAATGCAAGTTGAAAATATGTAGTCATAACTGAGTGTAGGTCCGCTAGCTTTTGATGAATATCATTCCTTGGATTCTACATTTCCCTTAATTGTGATGTTTTTTTGAATTTTTCTTATAAATGTTTTAAATTATTTTATCTTTGATTTATCATAATTTTTTTGAAATTATTATGATGTCTTGTTTCATTGAATTCCACAGTTTCATTGGAAAGAAATATCAGCACTTTTGCCTGTTCAATGGTATGCTTTGCGCCTGGGTTTATTTGCATCAATTATATCACCATAGCAGTTATTTTTTGCAAGTGGCTTGAAGAGAGCTTTTCAAATTAAGGTGCATCTTGTTCACTATTTCTTTGCTCAAATTTATAAATTTGTATCAGCATCCAAATGAGATCCATAGTAAGTGTTCATTGGCTTTCTTCCTCAATTATTGCAGGATTTTGGTGATAGTATATTCCTGGACTTGGTGGGTTTACTGACAGAATGGACTGTCAGGTTGGGTACTAAAATTTTCAGTTCTTGCAGACATTTATTCATACCCATTCATTTGTTGCCTCTAAATTATTCTTATTCTTAAGATATTATATTCTCCAATGTTGGATTTCTTCTTTGGCTGATTGTGAGTAGTATGTGCTAAAAGCTTTTATATATTGTTTCATTTTCACAATGCTGGTTATGTTGTTCCAGATTATTTTTATTCTTTAGCTCACACATCTGATTTGTTTTATCTTTCTAAATGTTTGTGCTTTGCATAGAATAAAATAAATAACCATAGGGGGAAACAAAGGGTGAACAACTAAATTGGTATGGTTCAACTCAAAGAGTTAATTCAGATTGGCTGCTTATATAATAGCTCACTCTGAACATCATGCGAGGAAATTGTTTCATAGGTCTTTTTTAATTGTGTGTGGTTTTTTTTTTTTTTTTTTTCATCATCTATTATAGCATGATCAAGTTCTTTCTTAAGATAAAGATTTTTTTGTCACTTCCATGCTATTCTGTTGGTATATTTTTGTTAAATCTAAATTTATTTCAACATGTGTCATATTGTAAATTGTTGAGGTGTATCAAGCATGCATTTTTAAGATAGCTGTTTGTACATTTATTTAATGTATTTCTCTTCTCATAATTGCTCATCTTCTACTTTTTTTTTTTTCTTTTTTTAATGTTCCTATCAGTTTGTGTTTTTATTTTTAAGATTATAAGATTGATTGATTTTCTTTTACAATTTATTATTATTTATAAATTGGGATGGCCCCCATTGAACACCATGTCATTCCTCAACTTCCAAACTGACCACAGCATCACTAGTGGCACCATATTCCAAATTTTCCTCTCCTTCATCTTGAGCTTCACCCCATCCCACCATTCTAGCAAGGCTTCAATAGAACTAGGGACTACCCAACACACATCCCACCAGCTCACTAATGCAGACCAGACTCTCCTATACTGCATGACAGAATCCTCCTTGTCCTCTGATACCTGGAACAATCTTGGAAATTCCTCACTGAGCAATCTATTATTGCACCACTTATCCGACCAAAATTTTGTTCTTTCCCCATTCCCAGTCCTTACTCTTGCATTTTCCAAGTAAAACTCTACCAGCAGTGGGTTATACTTAGCAATACTCAATATACCCTGCCTAATTGGAGACAGGCTTCTTTAATAACTCTGCCAGCAGTGGGTTATCCTTAGCAAATACTCAATATATCCTTAGTAAAACTCTACCAAACCCCTTCTTTAATAGACTTCAATTCCAGTTGTTGAATTCAGCTATTGAAAATAAAGTGCACAAATCACACGGTGTCACACTTTTTGATCATATGAAAATTGGTGGAACTTTATTCTAAGAAACTTCATTTCAATCCATGTATTTTCTTGTTGAGATGAAATTGGATGCACTCTTTACAAATTAATGATATCGATAATAAAACTTGTTTATGATAGGTGTCATTTTTGTGGGTTAAAATGGAATGGGACCTCAACTTGTATGGCTAAAAAATACACATTTTCTAAGTGATGAAATCACGTCCCCTTTCTTGTTATGGGCAAGAAGCATATGCCAAAGTTAAGAGATTGCTTTTAGAACAGTTTGAGAGACTGCTTTTAGAAGCATTCATGATGCATAATCAAGGCAGGGGAAATGTCATTTTGGTCCTCAGTCAGTTGTCTTTTTATTTATATGATTGGAAAGGAAAACTTCTTTGACGACCAAAGTGTGGATTATTCTAGCCATGATAATACACATGAGTAAACATAGAAAACTATAAACCCATGATAAAACAGCATAATCCTAATTCTCCACAATACTGAAGTCTCAGGAAATGAGTTTAACCTTCCAGTCCTCAGAAAAAAGAGAGTACCCGAAGTTATGAACATATGAATCTGTCAATCTGTAAATGATGGGGCTTGCGTGCATCCCTGTAAGAAGCACTGTTTGTGCACGTTTTTTTTTCTTTTTGTCAGAAAAAAAGTTACCTCACTCTTTTGCTCTCGTTTTTCGTACTGCAGTTGCTTGAAGCAGCCTGGTGTTTTACAAACATAGCGGCAGGAAAGCCAGAAGAAACTAAAGCTTTGTTGACTGCTTTACCATTGCTCATTGCTCATCTTGGAGGTTGATGATGGTTTCTGCATTTTCCATTCAATGTGAAAGAATGTAAATGGTTCTTTCTTTTTCTTATCAGAAAAAGTAAATGCTTTTTCTTTTTCTTCTTCTTTTTGTGTGTAGTATTTTTTTCTTTCTCCATTTCCTCTGGCTTTCTGAGACCTAAGAGTGACTGACAGTAATTAAAGATATCAGGTTAAGTACTATACGTTGAAATTGGATTACGTAACCACAAGTATGTCCATTTTTGGATCATTGAACTGCTGTTTTTGTGGAATAGCACTATTATTGAGTTGGGTGAAGTAGTGACGGTTAGGGTGGAATAGCACTATTATTGAAGTCTCCAAAGTATGCATTGCTCATTGCTCATCTTGGATTATCATGTTGTTTTATCATGTACTCCTATAATATGAGGGAGTATGCATTGCTACAGTACACATGGCACTCTTTTTTTGGATCTTTTCTGCCCTTGTTACTTGTTCAGTGAAACGCTCTCATCTGCTTTAACATTGTGGACCATTTTGTAAATTGCTACCAAAGTGAAAACTGTGTTTGTTTTTTGTTTTTTTGTTGATATATATATATATATATATTTTAGTACCTTTTTTAACTGCTTGATTAACAAAGTGTGAACCACAACCGTCCACGTTGACCTTCTTGGGAAGCCAATTTCTTGTATTATTTTTTTATTTTGCTCTGGAGAATAGGTGAGCGGCTTCTTTGACATGGCTTGCAAAATCTTCTCTCACGGTTCAACAATCAAATCAAACAATCACCGAATCTTGTCTCTCTATATCCCTCAGTAGTCTCCTCTCTCTGGACGATGATGGTGGTGAGAAACCCTATTGGAGATGAGTTGCTTCTCTTTTTTTGTCTCTACGTGTCCTGTTATTCACTTTTGTTCAGTTTCTTTACATAATCTGACTTCGTGCTGGTTAGTTTGGGGTTTTCCATTTTTTATTTTCTTTTGCATTCGCATTTTTTTCGCCGGATAAGGGTTTGTGGGTTTGACTTTGTTTTCTCTGGGTTTGTCTTTTCTGTTCTCAGTTGTCGGACAAGCTCTTGCTGGTTTTCCTTATTTTGCTGGTTTATCATTCTGTTTTTGTGCTTTATATGTATATTTCTGTAAATATTAATCATGAGTGAAGTTCAACCTTTTTATTTTTATTTTTAGAAGAATAAATCAAAAAATCGGTGTGCATATATTTAAAAAAGCAAACACAAAATGTGAAACCTTTAATAATTTTGTTTCTATCTTATTTACATTTTAATTTTCAAATTAATTATTGTCATACAATCATATCCCCCATCTAGATAATAGATTACTGCACATATATCTATATATGCATGTGTATGTATCTATTTGTAACTGAAATTATTAGGATTTCATAATTTCTTCAACATGCAGTGGGACCATTCTTATTCGTTGATTTTCTTTGGGGGTTTTAGAATATTTTAAAATTTTCTTTCATATCTAAGCTAATTTATGTGTTCTAAAATTTTTACTGTACAGTCTTGTATATATGTGAATTAAGATTAATGCAAATATTAATTTTTTTCCTTATGTAGGCATCTTCTTGTAAATCTCGCGTAATCTCATTCTTATTCAAGAAAGAACTTTAGCTTTTAGCGCATTTCACTAACCATATCCTCAATTTTCTACCATCTTAAATTAAAAAATGGGTTCCATTACTATTAAAATTAAATAAATAAAAGCACCAATAGACTCATAAGCAAAATGGCTTTTAACTTTTTTTAAAACAAACACAAGTCTTCAAATGTCATTGGCTTTTCTTCGGCTTCGGATGTTTCTTTGATACTTGACATGAAACGTCATGAGTTTTGAATGCCTAATAAACGTACACACACAACGTCTTTTTTCCCCAATCTAATACACAATAGGAATTACAACAATAGGGGAAAGAAAGATGATATTCAAGTAAATAACAAAGGTTACAAGGTTAGTTAGTAATTTAGAAATTTTCCAAAGAGATTTCATCCTTCCAATCGCGAGAATCGGATATTGATTATTCAGTATGCCCCCTCTTTTGTTACTTTGTAGATCTTACTCCCAATGCTTACCAACGGTTACATATCACGTAACGCCAACAGAGGTCTTCAAAAGAGACGGTAAAATAAGGACCTTGTTAATTCCTTCCTTACCAAAATCACCTAGGGTTTGAATATAACAACTCCGTTCAAGGATCCAAAACAACTACTTGCGTAAGACTTTACCTTTCAAAAGGGAACACGTCTTGCTAACCAATTCAATGTAAACATAACCTTATGTCATAATAATACTCATGTGATTGAAACCTCATTAGCCACCCTATTAAGTTCTCCGTTTAGATTAATGTTTTAAGTTAGTTAGCACAAGCAAATAAAAAATAAATAAATAAATTTGCATAAGTATGAGTATCATCAAAAGATTAAAATAAAAGGTATATATATAACCATGACATATGTAATATCATACTAAGACATGATCACAAACTAATAAGTACATTCATGAAGATAAGAGCATAGAACACTACTGCAAAAATAAATTTCTAGATTCGGTACCATTTAAGGATTAAAATTAAATGAACCATTTCAGATTTTTCTCGAGCCTGGTCATCTTATAGTTCGTAAATCTCAAAGAGGGAGATATGGTACTGAAAGACAACCGAGCTCCCATTCATGACCCTAGGGGTAAGTTCTAACCCAATTGGATTGGTCCTTACATCATCAAAACTATCTGGTCGGGTGGAGCTATTATTCTCATGGACTTAGATGGCTTAGAATTTTCCCAACCGATCAACATGGACAAGTTGAAAAAATACTATCCATGAGAGGCTCGCTCGGTCGAAAACCCGAAAGGGTGACCTAGGCAAAAATTAGAGCATGGAAAATTAGAAATAAAGAAAAACCGAGCTCGCAAGGTGGAAAACCCTAAATGGCGGCCTTCGCGAAAGTTAGAGCGCAAAATGAGAGAGTTGATACTCGAGTGAACCCGAACCGAACTATGTATGGCCTCATTCTGAAGTTTGGCCGTAAACACCTCCAACTCAACTGTCCTGTCCATGTGTCTGATCAAGTCATCTTTGTTTGTCCTTTACCTGAGGGTTCAATTTTGATCTTTACTCTGAGAGAAGAGTTGGGTACAATGCTGAGTAGTGGTGCTTAATCAAGGGGCAATTATGATCTTTTGATTCTAGGTTGTACATCTTGAGGATTGATTCCGTGTGCGTTAAGTGGTGATCCTTTTCGAAAATAGTTTTGGAAAGTTTAAATAAAAGTTGATTTTGCTCAAATTTTACCTTTTACAACTTAGACAATTTTTTAACCAAAAGGAAAATTTTTAGTGCTCACAACTCTAATTTCATTGATTTCAACATGAAGTTCTCCAACTCTCTGATATAAATCAAAGTTGCTTTTATTACATCATAAAAACTTGAAAAGAAAGGTCAAAGAAATAAACTAGGGGCATAAATGAGTTAGGTGCTCCTGTGTCCTTTGTTCATGCTTGTGGATGCTTCTGAAGCCAAAGTGGGCCCGATTTGTGTCACATCCTTGAGCCAAGCTAGGCATTCACCAAAAAGGGCACAATTAAAACAAGGGGCAGGGGCCAGAAGCTCTCTCATCCTCCAAGCAGTGAGGTGCTTAGCCAAGTGTGAACCATAGATAGGGAATAAAACCGGGTACTCTACTCCCTCCTCTAGGTAGGTCTATTCATGCACAAACTGGTGTCTGAACTGGAAGGGAAAGTAGAACACACGATGTGTAAGACTAATCAATTATATGCCAGGTTGCGAGCCATGCTGTAGCTCATTGCGGTTAGGTTAAGCCAGGGGCAGTGCCAAGCTATGTTAACCACAGACCAGCTGCACATCCATTCGCACCACCATTCCTCGTTTGGGAAATCCATTATTCGGTGGCGGAAGAAGTAAAGAATAGAGAGATGTGCATTGAGGGAAAAGTAAGAAAAGGGCTTTGAAAGAAAAACTGAGCATGAGTGTCGAGAGAAGTAAGAAACACACATGAGAACGGGTGGGAAACAATACCTGAAGGAGTAGTGGACTCCCCGCAAATCTGGTAGTCTCTTATCGATGAAAGGTGTCTAAGCCTATTAAAGTCTCGGCCAGCACCAAGCTAATGCAACTCTTGGCTTCTTTCAAATCTTGGGCCACTTTGATCAACTGAATGTTGGATCCACCGAAACTAGTGGCAAGAAGGAAATGAGCCAGCATACATAAGCAGAGGGCATGCTGCCGAAAACCTCGCCAGAGAAGGTCGCTTCGGTCACCGACATCAAAAAAATGATGAATCAAGCTGGGAATATCCAGCTCCCCATCATGAGCCAAAGAATGAGCCTCGTGCAATGATAATCCACACATCTAACCTAAAGCCTGGGCATGGCTAAAATGAGGATGAGGCATAATTTCTTCGTCGCGCCGGGATTTCATCAGTGCTTGAAATTCTTCGAATGTTGGACACATTTCTTGACATCCAAATTGAAATACATGTGTGACTGGGTTTTAGCATCATGTCGCGGCATGAAGGAATGTAAAGCAAAGAGAAGTGCGGCTTAAAGAGAAAATAGCGTTTTGGCCGAAACCGTGAAAATTCACCTTTTCCGAGCCATCCAAAGTGGTTATCCAGTCTCGAAGCCTGTTGACAAATATCATCTCCATCTTGAGAGAAAAATATCAAAAATTTGTGAGTCTGCTAGGAAAAACAGCATGGGAGCACTATTTATAGAGTTTGAGAAGAAATTGTGCATGACAGTTGGACATCACTGGCTGACATCACACTAATAGCCGGCCGTGCATCAGTGAAGCCCGACCGGGTCTTGGTTTTGGTCCAGTTCAGTGCAGTTGCAGCAGAAGCTGAACTTTGTTCGGTGGATCACGACTGCACTTTTGAGTCTTGTTTTGTTTGTACCAAAAGTTTTTTAGTTTTTTTGAATTTTTTTTCATTTCATTTTTCTGTTATCAAGTTGTATTTCACATTTTGACCGATTGTAAGTCATTATCCGATTCATGAATCAAATTCAAGAACAATGAGTGGCATTTGCATGTAATGAACGGTGTAACCCTTGCATTGTAACCTACATTGTGCAAAGAGATCATTCAACAAAAATTTGTCCTTCATAACTGGCGGGTCCAGCCCCGATCACTATTTTACAAAATAAAAACAAAAGAAAGTCTTCAAAAACAAAAGGTCTATCTGAAGCTAGTTTTTTTAACTACATAGCAAAACAAAAACAAAATCATCCTCATCATCAGTGGCCCATCCTAGCTCTCTTCCTCCTTGGCTGCAGAGGAGGTGCATCGCTGTCATCGCTAGGGCTGCTAGATTGCAAGTAAACCTCCTCTCCCTCATCCTCAAGGGTCGTGG